TTCAGTATTCTATGTGCAATTTTCTCATAGGATATATAGGTTTTAGTCATTACTGGTGAGAGACATCACCATACATTGTGACATGAAGAACATTTTTTTAAGGCTACAGTTGTGTTGTCACATTGATGAAATGTATTCAAAGTATGTCAAGATGAAGGATTCTAACCCTGTCCTTACTTTGATAAATCAGACTTTTCTGGTATGTCAATTTGTGACTTTAAATGGGTTGCCATTTGTTTTGAATAAAGTTTTTGACTCTATATGAAGATTCGATGTAAATTTTGCGGAATTACTATAGATAATGTCACAGGTTTTTTCAGACTCCACAACCCTTTCCAGAGTTTAATAGATATGACTGTTCAGGAATTTGTGACTCGAAATGGGTTGCCATTTGTTTTGAATAAGGTGTTTAACTACATGTATATAATTATGAAGAGTGATACGGGGTAAATTTTGCTGTATTACTTTAGATAATGTCACAGGTTTCTACAATGATACCTGACTTCTAAACTCTGTCCTTACTGTAAGACATATCCAAGTGATAAAACAAGATTTATCAATATGTGAAAGACATCTGTATGATAATCTTTGTCATTTGTCTTTTGTAGTTCCTCTCCAGTTCTCATAGGAAATGTCAATATAATTCAAAGGAAATATCCTTTAAAATGTCAAACAAATATAAAAGGAATTTGTAAACGTGAAGTTGTAACACAATGCTTTAACCTTGACAAAAGTAATGTTCACAATATGAAAGAAACCAAGGCATATCTGCTGCTATTTGTTTGATACCAATCACTCCCCAGTCCTGAATTGATAAAAATAGAAACCTCCTTTTAAATTTAAACTTTTCAGGGCACTTAAATTGAGAGTTTTAATATAAGGCTTTGACCTTGAAATAGTAGGGTTCAAAATGCAAAGACATTGAAGCATTTCATCTGTTATGTTAAAATTAAGAAAACAAGGGTTTGACCTTGAAAAAAGCAGCACTGAAGAGGGAAGCTAGTGCAATTACCACCATTTATATTAGACTAATAATATTTCTCTTCAGTGTGGCACTTTGTTATCTGATGGCAGACGAGAGTAGGCCTAAAGCTAACTAGAGGTTTAAATACCCGGTCGATACTAGCACCAATTCCATCACTTTCTATTCACAACTCGCTACCAGAACGCAATACCATTGGAAGAAAAGAAAATTTGCAGATCTGGCAAAACAGACCCAAAAAGATAAGCATTAACTCACCGAATTTCATAACATCACTTTACACTTCTGCTATATATTCCAGTAGTTGGCACAATTCCAATATTTCATGCTTGTTACCAAACTAGCATGGTTCGATTCTGCACGTGCCGGCTATACTCAACAATCGAATCCTTCCGCCATCTTGTCTTAGAATTCTATCACGTGATTTGTCTGCTGCTATCGTCTGCTAATGTTAAATGATTTCACATTCTCCTGGGAATTTCAAGACGAGATCATCGGAACTTGGCCTCCACCATAGAAAGATAAATTCAACTTAATGACAAATGGAGAAAGGAGTTGTTTTTGTCATCATTCAAAGAAATCGAATTTCTTAATTGAATTCGGTTCCATCTTCTCTGGGTTTGGAATTCTTTTGTTCCAATATTGACATAAAAAGCCACAAAGTAAATTTCTTTACTTAAGTTTATTCTTTTTCATGTTTTTTTTTTGTTCAGAATAAATCTATTTTAATTAACTAGATACGAATACAATAACCGTATAACGTTCAATATCAAGAAACTTTCAGACAAACTTAACATTAAAGAGAGGGGTCCGAAGATGAGCTCATGTCAGTAAGATCAAGCTGTCGTTGCGTCTTTTGCCGTATCAATAGTGCAACTCGTGTGAAGAAACCATCTGAGAAGCCATGTACTAAATTTGAGTGAAAAAATTGCGACTATATGCGATCTAACGAACTAACGATATTGCGTTCGCAATTTCTAATAAAATATATAAAATATAATATGGGCTTGGTCCATTTTTTGTATTGCGTCCAAAGAGATGTTAGACCCTTGTTTAAAGACATTCTCGATTCCGTGGCGATTTCAACGGTGATTGTAGCACCCACCCTACAATATCTGACGCTTCCAACACGATGATAAAACGCTTCTGGCGACCTTAACACACTCTGAGGCAATTTCCCGTCGCCGTAGCAGCTCAGTAGCCTTTCCAGTGTGACGTTAACTTACTGGTTTCCTACTGTGTTCGCTTTTCGCTACACTAACGGTATAAGGTTTTATAAGAGATACTCTCTTGTAGAAGCACTGGCCTAGGTCACAAGTAGGGACTGTTGATTTCCACCATTGGAATACATAAATGTTATGGGAAATTACCTACTTCTAGAGAGATTTACAAGATAAACACATGATTCAGAAATGCAAAGCGATCTATCATGGACAAGAACATTACTCAGATTTTTATTTCTTTTATAAAGTCACCAAACGTTTGGTATAGATGTCAGGGAATTCGTCCTGAAGTTCTTTTGTAAAAGCGTTTGACAATCACAGAAGCATTTTTAGCTGTAGAATTGTAGGTGGCAAGGAAAGGTGTGAAGCTCTAGATGGAATAGGCGACCAGTTAACTGTGTGACAGGGCAAAACTTGCCTCCATATTTTGAACAATATTTATACTTTCACTTTAATAATAGAGTGAAATGAACTACCAGGTGGCGTCAAAGTGGTAAAAAAGTTTCGGAATCAAGATCTAAGGTATTGGTTCTGTGGCAGTAGCAGTTCATAATGTAGGTAGACCATAACCGTCTAGATCTATCTACTCCAGCTTGACACTTCAACTCCTTTCCTAATCAGAATACGAACCAATATAAGCTGATGCCTGGAGGAACTATCCGGAATATTAAGAAAATTATCACAAGACAAGAGACTAAATACCACATTAACGCTTCGATGGACTAATCCTGTTGTCTTGATTGGCTTTGACCTTTTGAACCCTTGCCGACACTTTCTTCTCGATTTAACACCAACTGTGGAATTTCTCTCAGATATGAAATCAGTAAGAGATGATATGTGAATGTCTTTATTATGGAATTTGTGCGGAATTCGTCGTCCATGATATTGTGTTATTCGTAAATTGCTCATTTGCACAAATTGATCATGCTTGGATAGATACTCGATCAATAAGCTTGTATAGTTAGTGTATTTAGGTTCACTTTCCGTTTTCGAACTTTCGCCTGTACATTGTATTTCAACTATTATTTTAGTTTAAATTGGAATATCGGCTTCAAAATAATGAAAAATTACTGATCCAAAATGTCTCAAATTCTATCTGAGGAATGAAAATGCCTTTTGTTATAATTATTTATTTCTGCTATTTGGAAGAATATATTCAGTTTACAATATTTTATTATAGAAATTTGTTTTTCTAGCGTATCATAGTCATTTTGGTCAGTAAATGTACTGATACAATTAGAGAAGTAAACAACGCATTAGTGTCTGCTGTTCGCAAGATGCTGTTAATCACAGATGGGTGATTAATAGTTACATTGATTTGATCTTTTAAGTTGTAGATGAGAACCACAAGTCCAGCAAGTTCACGAAGGCATATTTCAATTTACTCTTGTCATGCGCATGATTGGAAACCAAGGCTAGGTGATGAACGAAATTGCTCATAAAAAGCACAGAAACTCATTTTCAGATGACTGTCACCCTTTTCAGAATACCCGAATCGTGAGGTATAGCGCAGGGTGAAGTATCTCTTATTGGAAGTAGATACCAACACTTGTGCGTACCATAGAAACTTCAATTATTATACAAGGAATAAGAACCAGCGTTGCGATGAGGATAACTCTATCGGTTTCGTCAACAATGTTGGCACTCGTGTTTCACCTCATTAAACCTATCCTTGCCCATCACAGCCATGAATAAAATAAATGAATTTAATTTAATATAGCAACAAAATCCTTTTAACGATCTTGGCAAATGTGTTTACCCCTAAAGATGGATAAACCTGGTTCATTGTCGTCTCACATTGTCGTCGGTCTGTTTACACTCAGTTGTCTCGTCCTCACTCTTCAATATTTGATGTATTTGTTCAGTTTGGGTTTGTATCAATGCAAAGATAATTACTTTGGAGCGAAATCCACCAATATCGTTGGGTGTTTCCTAACAACTTCAAACAGTTGTTGTACCCTGATATATTTTTATCTCGTACTTGGTAATGTGAGAAGGGACATAACCATGATATTGAGTTAATGTTACAGCCTGCCGATATTTGTTGAGTCTCCAACACGGTGGTATCGAACCCATTGCACCTAATCTCTTTGAATCCATCTCGCTACCGATTGATCTATTTCAAAGTCGGTCGTTTCCAGAAACATAGATAAATTTGACCACACTTTGACGTGCCCAAAGTTGGAAAAATGAGGGGAAAGTTACATTCATGGATTCTATGTGAAAAAACTTCTGGCAACCGACCAATTTCACTACTGGAAACTAAACACCGTTGTCCCTCCCAACAATAGATAACAGAGCATCAAGTGGTATTTTTTTTATTTAGTAATTGGCAAATAACAAGAGAGCATTCAGTGAAACTAGTTAAAAATAGGGTAGACTGGATGTCAGGAAGTTATAGTTTACCAATTGCGTGGATGAAATCTGGAATCATCTCTCAGAGACAATAGTTGCTGCCAAAAACTTCAACTGGGTAAACTATGGAAAGATCGTTTATGATCGGAAGTAACGGTGATATGGAACGAGGGCCAACTTATTAGAGGTTGAATACACTTGGGATAACTAAGGTAGGTTACATGTAGTAATGGCAATAGTTCGAGGTAAAAAACACAATAGTAACAGTAGTTAATGGATGAAGGTAAAATTGAAGCAATAGTTTGGTATTAACAAAAATTATAACATATGAGTTCTGACAAGAGACAATATACCCCAATAAAACAAATATAATTGTAACAACAGTTAAAAGGATCCAACACGCAGATGATTGTCCTAATCTTTAATCGGACAAATGTTGTCTAGACCTTGATATTTGCCACTGTAAATAACAATAGACATACGTAGAAACTTCCGTTAAGGCCCGAAACTCTAGATGTACTTTCTGCAATAACAGGTCGATAATCAAAACTATGTGTACATGTTTCGGTTTCGACTATTTCTGCATTTTGTAAGTAATCTTCGACACAAATTAAATATGTTCCATTCACCAACCGAAAATCAATAGACGTGAGATTTTTTTGGTTTGCCAGAATCGTGATGACGCCGTTGTGCAAATCGTGAACAGTCTCATTTTGCTCTAGAACCATTTGTGGACATGTGAGTAGTTTAGAAAACATCACCTCTTTCGCTAGATAGATATAGCCAATTGCGAGTACATGTCTTAGAGGGCGCGGTCGAATACTAGACTTGTATTTCAGACAGAGTCCCCCTGAATTCTTTGGAATTCGATCCCTTACAACACAATCTGCTAACTGCTCAACCGATAAAATGTTAAATGGAGCAGTTTTTTCGGAGCCAACTATCGTTACTATGTTGTCCTGAATTAAACGAATATTTTCATCTTCAGATCCCTGTGATCTTCTTGAGGTCAGATGCAGTCCTATTACCACTGTTGCATTTAGATATCCATTTAAGCATGGTGTCATACCGAGCAAGGCTAACGAATTCTGCACAGTATATATGCCATGCCAAAATACTAAATGCTGAATTTTTGAAATGAATTTGAACACTAGTCTTCTAGAGTCTGGAAACGTTGCATTTGAAACCATAATCTCATATTTCAAACAGATTTTGTATTTGTACCCATTGAATCTGTGAAACAATGATCTGCAAATACCATTAACTAACCGTCTTCCATCGGGACATGATATTGGTCGACACACTTTCTAAAAGTGAACAAACAGAAATTTTTATAGATATGTGAAAATATCAATTCATAGCTTCTAATGAGTCCAGAGGCCAATTTGTGCGCAAATGAATTTACAGCCATGTCTCGACTTTTTTGATTATTTCCCTTGACTAATTAATCAAAATTCGCATGATTGTGAACGTTAAAGGTACAGATTCGCCTTTTCGGGGTTGATTTGAGTCTTGAATAGAAGTAAATAGTCTTCAGTAGTAAAAGAAATGTACGAAAATCGCAAATTTCTTTTCCTATTTCTGTAGACGTCTTTTCTACATATGGTAGTGGTGTCTCAAGCAATGACCACTGTAATGTTTAACTTTCAAACGCGGTTAATTATGGCCACACATGGATTTAAGGTTCAAATTTCGACAGTGAACGCTATTACTGATTGGCTAAGCTAAAAAATTTTGTTTCTGAGAGTTAAGTATAAATCGTCAAAAAAAAAATGGCGCATCTTTCCCTTTAAAGAAACTTCAGTTTCTAATGGATTCTGAGGAAACTTAGTATTCTACATATATTGGCGAGATTTTTTATTAGTTTCATTTACACGAAATTTCCATTGACAATGACCCGTTAAGATTGCTTGGTGACCAGTTTAAAGACTACTGTTTAAAACGAATATTTCCGATTTAACAGCTATAAAAAAAATAATAAAATACTGCCCTTGACTTAACGATTATTTATCCCGCATGGCCGCAGTCTGACATACTGACAAGAAAGATTTAATCAAAACTTCGTATATAGGTTAATAAAACCCATATGTGTACAGGAGCAGTATTCGACATTTTAACTCTCGAATAATTCTTGGTGATATGGGGTTTTTAAAAAGTTTGTGACAATTTTGAACTTTAACTCTCGTAATCCTGAAAAATGAATTGACTTATTTGAACGTAATTCAATACATATATTTAACTTAGCCGAAATTTTATAACTGGTTATGTACGTGATTGGTGTCCGGGTTTTGAATGAATATAGGTATTATATATAATATATTTTCAAACAGTTTAATGCGGCCTTTGATTCAAGAAGTGGTTAAATTTGAGCCCTGTCAAGTCAAGAGGGATGTTTAACAAGGATGATAATTTTGTAAAATGATATTACCTTATCGATATCTACTACTGAATAATCAGCAGGCTGGAGGTGAGACAAATTATCATCAACCACTCCAACAATATCTTCTAATGTGTCTGGACTATCTGGTATGTTACACAAATAACAAAACATGTTTTGATAACCAAAGACTGGGTTTTCGTATTGATAGGTTTGGTTACATTTTGAAGGCAGGTCAGGTTCGTCTCCTGACCACAGTCCAGTTACATTACATGAATTAATGAGTTTCTTGCCTGAATGACACGTTCGTTGCCTTTGCCAATTTGTTGGTTCAAAATGAATGCTGCATCCTTCAGTGGTTCTGAAATTATGATAGAGGTCATTTACATTGTTTCCAAATCGGTCTGGTAGTACATCTCTACAAATTAACCACATTTCCCATCTTTCCGTTTCCTGAACTCCATTACAACTGGCACAGTAGATATTCCTATAGGAGAGTTGTGTAAGCCAATTTGTAATAGGATGAATTGTACTTTGGTCTTCCATGTCGATAATATTTTCACAACGTGTCACTACCTCCTGGCTACCAGTGAAGGAATTAGGACACGACTTAATCAGAAAAAAGGCTTCTGGATGGACTTCAAATTCCAGATTATCGCAGGTTTTATAATACTTAGAACACAGATCGGTGTTTAAGTTGGTCCTCTTACTCAGCTCGGGGAAGGAGATCGTCGTACAAGTATATTCATAAGCCATGTACTTCGGTTCCACATCAGTGGCTTTCTTATCTGGACAACAGTTTTTATACAAGTGGCAGTCACCATCACAGTAACATTTACTGCACCAATCGTTTCTTATGACAGTTTTGGAAATGCAGGACTGTCCACAAAATGTAAGATAAGCCGCATTGTACGTTTGATTACTATACGTGTCAACCGACTGCGTTCCGTAAATACAATGAAATACGACTACTACACAGACCATATAATGTAAATCTCCCATGATGAGCCAAAATGTTTGAGCATCGCCCAAATTACGAAAGAACTTTTATACAGCTATACAGAATGAATAATTAAAAACTTTCAATAATGTTTTGAAGAGTCTTCAATAGAAATTCAAGATAAAATGCGTATTTCATAATATCTGAATGGTTCAAATATCGCAATAAATGTGTTGTTTTGAAAACATTTTAATACCAATCCTTCTGTTTTAAGTCTTCATCATAGATAAGAAATAAAGCCATTCAAAATATATTTTGTGTTGTCCGGTAATTTGGAAAAAATAAGTATTTTTTGGCATAGAATATATAAAACAAAAAAAGAATTGTTTATATGCTCACTTGAAATGGGGGTCGTATATCGGTGTCATCCAATTCCGTCCGTCGTCCGTCCACAATTGCTCGTAAACACTCTAGAAGGCACAATTCTTGACGCATTTTGACGAAACTTAAGCGTTTGTAGTCACCAAAGGATGAACCGGGCAAATCGAAAAATATTTAGTATGAGTTGTTGCTTTTGTTCTTGAATTGCTCGTAAACACTGTAGAAGGTACAATTCTTGATTGATTTTGACGAAACTTTATGTGAGTGTTGTAATCGCCCTAAGATGAACCCTATTGAAAATCAGAAAATACCAAGTCTGAGTTATTGCCCTTGTGTTTGAAAGCGCGTTCAATTTTAGCTAGTAATAACTCCACAAGGCATAATTCGTAACGGATTTTGATGAGAATTGGTGTAAGTGTTACCCTAGGATGAACCCTATTGAAAATTAAAATAATGAAAAAACATCATTATTTATTACGAGTTGTTGACCATTGCTCTTGAAAACGCGTTCAACTTTGCACTCGTAAACACTCTAAGAGGCACAATTCTTGATGGATTTTGATGAAAGTTGGTGTGAGTGTTTGTTATCACCCGAGGATGAACCGTATTGAAGATAAGAAAAATCGAATAATATTTAGCAACGGTTAATGCCCTTGTTCCTTTCAATTCGTAAACACTCTAGAAGGCAAAATATTCTTGAGAATTTTGATATGAGTTATTGACCTCACACATGAAAACGCATTAAATTTTTAGCTCGTAAACTCTTCTAGGCTCGATATGTGCCGGGTTTTGACAAAACATGGTATTATTATTCAGTATCACCCAAAAGACTTCAAAAGTGTATGACTGAATATTTCATTCTGTTACTGTACTACCAAATCTATTTTTTTTTAAAATCAAAGCTGTCAGTGGGCGCATATAACCTTGCCTGGCAAGCTATCATATTACATGGGTTTAAGGTGCGAATGTTATATTTTTTGTTGTTTAAGAAACTCTTGATGGAAATAAATATAAAATTCGGAAGGCAGACTAGTGAATTTCCGAAAACAGAAAATTATGTTTGACTGGCCTAAATTTAAAACGCCTTTATATTCTGCAGATTGAAATGAGAAAGATATGATATGTTTGTTCTAAAATGTACAGAATTTTTTATTTCATATCGGCAAATGTTTTATATTTCATTGGAATGATAACTTCCAGTTGTTATAATTGTTATGTGAGGTTTCTAGAATCATATGCAATGTTCATTGTGGATTGTTTCCTTTGCACTGTATATAAACTGATCATTCTGGTGACTCGTAACTTGCCCAGGTGTTTTCTGCAGCAAGCAGGGTGTACATATGATGAAAGCATATGGGTTCAGGGATCAGGGAAGAGTGGCGAGAAAAATGGAAAATGTTTTTTCCAAAAGTCTCGTTGACCTATCTAGACCAAAAATTAGTAAATGGAAAACAACCCGAAGGAAGGGGAAAGAGGAATATTAGAAATAGCACGAACTACAATCTTTTGTATAAAATGTTTAATGGACAGGGTCCAGTACATTTTACATGGAGTTTTTGTTTTTATCTTGTAAACACGACAGGGAGTTACTTCCCTTAGATCGCTTAATGGACTCACACCACCAATTCATTTTCCATCTCTTCCAATGTTACAACGCGAAATTCAACCTTCTACAACTTTTTCCAGAAATCTCGTTGAAAGCTTTCCAATATGTCGAATGAAAGCCTGACCAATCCTTAATGTCTCCCAAAAAATTAAATATATGATGACCATGAAAATTTGAGCTACTAAAATTCAAAGTAGACTACTACCGATTATACTCATCCGCTAGAGTTTGGCAGTTCACAAACCACTATTTTTGGAATTAGCCTTCCGCCTTTAGGTCTCTCATCATCTCACCAAATCTTAAAGATAATGCAATTTCAGACATCAAATTCCAAAGCTAGACCAAAAATTAACCCAAAAATAGGTATACAAAAACCCCTAAAGGGAGAGTGAAAGAAGATTTCTAAAAATAGCCTGGAGGTATACAATCATTTGCATAAAATGTTTTAGTGGAGTGAGTCCTAATGTTGACGAGCTGTGTTATGCCTCTTTAGCAGCTAGAAATCGATGTGCAGCATGTTGACCTTTCATTTAATACATTAATAGAAACACGAAATCGACCAGCCGTAAGAAAAGCACATGTCCAGGTTGAAGAAGCAGTCGCAAATATGTACAACACGACTTTTTTAAACAGTTAAATCTGATTTCTACCAGAAATTCACGAAATCTCAAATTTTACAGAAACACTATTTTAGTTCTGATTTTTGTAATAATGTTTTTCTTTGGATTTATCGATTTCGATTTGGTTAGATACCCATTTAATATTCGTTGCTAGGCAACACAATTCTTGTGATAAATATCCAATGAAGGCGATTGCTCGAGTTTAATAAGTAAATTTGGCGGGAATCAATGTGAAAGGTTAGGTGACAGAATAATCGATGACGTCTTCACTTTTTAATTGAGAAACAATTTTGCATAGGCCTATCATTACGTTATCTTTTAATAAATGCAGATAAATGTATAGGATTTTTTTTTCTGTTATAGGTCTCTGTTTTGAATTTTCATTATTGTTTCCCGCTGATTTCAATTGAGTGCTGATTTTATTCTGGAATACGAGGAAAAGTTACCAATGGCATGCCTATGCAGTACGTCAAAGGTTCCAAGGATATCTTCCATAAGATTTACAAAATATTTACAGTTCTCTCAGACATGAGATTAAATACTAACTATCTGTAACCGATCAGTAATTAGTATGTTGATACTAAAATCTGTGTAAAGTGTTGATTGGCTATTATAAGAAATGGTAATATTTGGTTTAACGATCACATATAATCGGAAATGGCCGTATTTGGTTTTAATAGTAGTTTTACTGTTCCCAACTGAATACGATGTGGTTCGGATAATGGTCATATAGAAACGAAGTACAATCATATAGTCAGTATAAAGATATTCTACAGAAACAATTATTGGCTGAGTTTCAACCAATTCAACCTTCATCGACCACACAAACCAGCAGAAAAAATAAAAATCAGCCAACGTGTCCGAACCGTAAATCTAAAATAGTCGAATGTAAGACAAGAAACGGGGAAACAGAACTTAACATGTAAGGTACATAAAAAACATGACAGAATTTTGTTTTGCGACAATAATTTCGCGCCCTAAACGTTCCTTGGATGTGGCACTTTTAGGAATTATAAAGCCATTTAAAAAGACAATATCACTCTGTTTAGATTTCCATGCATAAACATTGCAATTTAACCACAATCCCATTGACATATCTATAATTTGTTTATGGAATTTAGTATGAAAATTCTATCGCCCAAGATTCGCAGTATATATTGCATGTTGATTTGTTTACATGGTGATAGGATTAACAAGAAGTTTTTCTCGCCTTTGTCTGTGCATCAGGGACACTCAAAACAATTTGAGTATATAAATACATATACCAATTTGTGTATCACGATCCACTTATTTATCTCTTTTCCAGGTACTAAAAGGTGTACCATATGCCACCAATATATAAAGGATTACATCTGGAGAGCCCGCAACAAACTGGCAAACCTGCTACCGTTACCTAATAACTTTATAAAATACACTATACTCAAAAAATAAATACAGAAAAATGAAGAAAACTCGTTTATTAATATTGTATCGATTCTGTAAGAACATGTGCTACTTTCAACATCCAGAAATTTAATAAAAAAAAAAAAAGAGAAAAAGTCAAAGAAATATAGTTGTGTTAAAAAGGTTTATTGATTAAATTTACAACATAAATCAAACTTGTGACAGATATTGTTCAGACACAAAGATTAAAAGAATACCAAATACATATAATATTTATATAACATGAAGGGCACAGACTGGAAACATGAAATATTTATACAACATAAAGGGCGCAGACTGTAAACATATAATATTTATATAACATACACGGCGCAGACTGGAAACATATAATATTTATATAACATACACGGCGCAGACAGGAAACATATAATATTTATATAACATACACGGCGCAGACTGGAAACATACTATATTTATATCAGATAATTCACTTGAAACGTTTTATAGCAGTCATCAACTTTCTCTTTTTCCATATTTTCGTGACTTTCGGCATTTAGTAATCTATTTCAAATTGCACAGGAAGGGTTACGCAAGGTGGTGTGAACTGTGATATCATACATTGAGTGAAGGCTGTAAAATGACTATAGATAGAAATAAACAATGGAGCATCACGGCAACCATTAAGAAAATAACAAAGATCGCTTCCCTTGATATATAAACTAAACAGAATACCACAAATAACATATGCATTAGCCTTAAAGATGCGTTTCCTTATTTTCATTTATATGAATAGAAAGTAGAGGTGTTCTAATGACTTGGAAAATACCAGTTTGTCTCACATGTCAATAATTAATTCATAATGAGCTAAATTAGAAGAGAATTACCAACAGAATTCCAATGAGTGATCAAGAAAGGTCAAAAAGTTTTTTTGTCCATCCAGACATGCACAATTTATCATCAAGAATTTTAGGTTGTAAGCGATGTTACGAAAGCACAGGCACAACCTCTAGTGATAGAGCAAGAGTTAGGGTTAAAACTATATATTATATGCAATAAGAACATAAGGATATGA